CTCAGAGGCTTCCAAGAGCGCTCCAAGTCGGCCGTAGAGGGCTCCAGGACGGCCCGAGAGGTCCCCCAAGATGGCCCAAGATGCGTTTCAGGGCGCTTCCAGATGGGCCGCATTGGGGGAGACACGAACGGACTTGTCGAGCCGTTCCCCGTACGATGGCACCCAAGACCCCCAACTCGCCCTCAAGCGGCATCCACGATGAGCTAGCTAGGAGGCCTCCAAGAAACAGAGGCCACAAAAGAACTCAAGAAGCCCGTCACCACATGACGCTCTACAGGAACCACCTCGCGAAACACCCCACGAATCATCACACGAACACCGCACGAAATAGGCCGCCAAACACCTCACGAATCACCTCACGAAAGATCCCACGAAACACACCCCGAGACACACCCCACGAAACACCAGGCGAACTACCTCACTGGACACCACGCGAAACAACCTGCGAAACACCCCGCGAGACATCCCGTACACATCCCCCGAAATATCCCACGGAACACTCCGCAAACACCTAACGGAACGCCCCACAACACCCCCCGCACAACACCGCACGAAACACCGCACGAAACACCCTACGAAACATCCCGTTGTCCATCACGCGAAACACACTCCACGAAACTCTCCACTATCACGAGACGGTCCACGAAACACCTCTCAGAAATTCTCCCGCAAAACACCCAAGAGGCCTCGAAGACACTTACTAGACGCATCCCAAGATACCCTCCTGTGCATCGAAGAGGCTTCTGACCCACGTGGGGGGCACCGATAGGGGGGACTGGCACAAGGGGGGATGCATCGACCTGGAATCGGCGATACAACGCCCATAGATCGGCGATAGGCCCCCGATAGTGAATCCGCACCTTCCTGGGCGGGTTGGGGCTGTCGGGCCCCTATAGGCGATCAATGAGCGATTTGGGGGCGATGCATCCCCCCCTATGCCCATCCCCCCCGATCGTTGCCCCCGACGAAGAGGCTTCTGACCCACGGCTCAGCCTCGAACTTATCCCTATCCCTAAGAAGGGCGAGCAAAAAGCGAGGACAGTCTTAAGGATAGGCCCTCAGAAGCTGAGGGAATCCTTACGATCGGCATGGAGGTGAGGTGATGTCAAACATGGGGATAGGGACATGCTTCAAACTGGCAAGGCACGGTGGCGAGTTAGGCCGTATGCCGCTAGAGAAACCACTCCCCCGGACGCATGCCCACACGTGCCCCGCAGGTCGGGCTGGGCGTCTCGCCGAAGACTTCCGTGCGCTGCCCCCCTACAGGGGGATTTCGGACCAAAAATAAAAAATACTCAAAACTATTCCAAGATTGGCAAAACACATTCAAAAATAGTCCCCCGACTATTTTTGGACCATTTTTGGACTGATTTTAGGGTATTTTGTAATTTTCGTCGAAAATCTCCCTGTAGGGGGACAGGCCCGACGTAAAGTTGCAGGGAAGGATGGCCGGTGGGGTGGGATTCAAAGTGCGACTCTCGCTGTAGTGCCGAGCACATTCGTTTCAAAAGAGTGCTGCAAGGATGGAGGGCTGGTCGTTTTTTTCTATCCATCCGCTGTTCCCCGGCAGCTGCAAGCTAGGATGGAGGGCCCGTGGCTTCCAAGATGTGGCCCTCGCCTCGACGCCGCGCACACTCGTCCGAGAGGTGCAGTGGGCCCGTCGCGACCACAAGTGGGGGAAGGCCTCATATTGCACGGGCGCGTTGCTTGGCATTGCTTGGCAGTGCTTGCCAGTGCTTAGCAGTGCTTGGCATTGCTTTGCATCGCTCGGCGTTGCCTGCCAGTGCTGGGCATTGCTGGGCATTGCTTGGCGTTGCTTGGCAGTGCTTGCCAGTGCTTGACATTGCTTTGCATCGCTCGGCGTTGCCTGCCAGCGCGGGGCATTGCTGGGCATTGCTGGGCACTGCTGGGCATTGCTTTCCATGGATTCACATGTGTTGCGTTGCCTGACGTTGCCGGGGAACACCCGAGGAACAAAGTCGTGGAACCCGAGGAACCCAAGCAAGACACGAGACTGGGGAACCCGACGAGCCAGAGGAACAAGACCAGGGAACCAAAGAACCCAAGCAAGGAGAGCAAGACTGGGGAACCCGACGAACGCAAGCAAGCCTCCTCCTCCGAGGAAAGAACGAAAAACAACAAGACTGACACTCAACGCCCTTGTAACGAAAAAACGAAGACCCCCCAGAGGACCCTCCCGCGTAAGAAAAAACAAGGCCGTGGAACCTCGAGAAAGAAGCCTGGGCCAACCGCGCCCCCGGCACCCACCAGGTCTTTACAAACAACGCAGCAACCCTTTGGTACACCCTGCTTAGGGCATACCTGCGATGGTAGAGGCTGGCACGCGTTCGAAACGGGGCCATCGCTTGACACGTCAACACTGGCACTGCAAACGCAACACTGTGCAACAGGCACACAAACGAGGGACGCTACGTTTTCCAAGTAGGGCCGTCGCTTGAGACGTCTAAGGTGTCTACGACCCGAAGATCCAACCAAATTCTGCAACATCTATGCGGATTGAGGGCGGTTCCGCTTCCCCATTGGGGCGTGCGCTTTAGAGGTTCGCAACTGTTTTGGCCCGATGTTATTGTGTTTTGTTTAATTGCGCCATGCGTACACGCATGGAATGTAGAGCTATTCCCAAACGGGA